TATACTCTTCTGTTTTTCTTCAACTGATTTCCTATATAAGTACTCGCGGCGCAAACGCGCCTGTCGTCGCAACATTGTGTATATTAATTATATTATAAATCAAATAATACTTGTTTAGTTATAAATTAATATTATCGATAAACAAAACCGATCATATCGCAACCAACGCACGTGTTAATTTGACATTTGACACCACAGACTAGGGATGTTCGGTGATCATCGATGTTAAAAATCAAAACATCGATGTTTTAACATCGATGCTGCCACATGTCAAACATCGAAACATCGATGTTAATGAACCAATAATCGAATAATAAGAACTTGTGAATAATGCGCAACAATCAAGTAAAAAAATATCATTACGGTATGTCAAACTCACTGTTTGTCAAATTCACAAGTGTAAACTGTAATGTCACAGTTGTCACTGCTTTCGCTTTGTAATTCTGTGGTGTCGTTGTTGTCGCTTAATAACTATTCTACATAAATTGATATTGAAATTAATTGTTTTACCTTGCTGTCTATACCCACATAATTTTGAAACAATATGTATCTATTCTACACAATTCAATTATATTTAGCGTTTTTTTTTTGAGCTAAAAATAACAAATGAACTAGATATTTGTTAACTTTTTTATTACTGTTTGACACTAAACTTTTTATTAATTTCTTTTATTGCATTAATAATAAACCATAAACAATACTACTAATTTTGTATTCATTCTAATTTTAACATATTAAATGTACCTACATGTGTAATAACATCGATAATGGCCAACATCCTTGTTTTGAGTAGGATAAACATCGAACATCGTAGTCAAGCTATCGATACCAACATCGATGTCATCATCAATAATTTTTGGGCAACATCGATTATCCCTGCCACAGACACAGAACCATGGAGGTTAGAGAACCAGAACACGTCATATTTGACACTGACAATTATTATTTTATTTTAGTTGTAACATTTTAGATAGGCATTGAACTACAACCTATGCAGCCAAATATATTTTAAAATGTGTCGAAAGTACGAAACATAATTTGCCTTCCTATTGAAAGACAATAATATTCGTTCACTCTATTACACAATTTAAATCAAAATTTTAATGATTTTCTATAATTATTCTGTTTATTTATCGTAATTTTACATTCACTTATTTTTATTGGTCAAATTAAAAATTAATTTCCTCTTTTCTGTACATACTTTCAAGTGCAGAAGTAGCTTTACAAAGTATGTTAGGATGGATTTTTTTTAGAGCTGCTTTTATGATTGTCGATATAGAAAACACAATGTTAAATATATTTTAATTAGATTTTTTACAATGATTATAATTTTAATAAATAAGTAACTTTTACAGTATTATAAGACAGGCCTTAGATGAGACTTTTAGAGTATGTAAACAATAGTTCAATGTATGTGTAATAAAATTGTAAATTTGCTCATTCAACTTACCATCGTGACATTCCTCCACTAGCAATCTGTAATAAGGCTTTAAATCAATATTATGGCTTTTAAAGATACCAAACAGGTCATCAACATCTTCTTTAGAATTTCTCGGTCTTATGTTTAAAACATCACCTGGTTTGTAGTTTAATTTTGCATCTCCGACAGTTGTTAAAGTTATTAACCTCACATCCTACAAGAAAACACTTTTCATAATTTAGTAAATAATATAGTGGTTTAGGGATTGTGTTTGCATGACAAAGACTTTTGTGTCCATGGGCTACAATAGCCACTTAGAATCAGGTAGAGCATATATATATCTTAATATATATAAATTACGTGTCACTTTGTTTGTCCGCAATGAACTCCTAAACTACTTAACCGATTATAATCAAATTTGCACACCGTGTGCAGTTAGGTCCAACTTGTGAGATAGGATAGTTTTTTTGCCCATTAATATATATATATATATATATATATATATATATATATATATATATTTGCAATGAGTGCCTCATTACATTGATTACATTGTCTCTAAAAATATACACCCAATCGACTTGAAATTTAGTACTACTTGATTTTTAATTCCTGACATTTCGGGTGCTTTCTATCACCCATGGTCATGGGGGACTGAAGTGACTGATGTCCCGATTTTAGTGTTAACCCAAAGTACCTTCACCTTTTTAATTATAATAGTCTTAATCAATGTGCAGTATTTGCATAAATATTTTTATGGGACTGTTGTAAAATTTGTTCTTAGTGAGAGTCTACATTGTGAAATGAGTAACTATACTAAATGTCGTCAATTTGGTGTATAGGTTTAGAGATCATAATGAGTCAGTAGTATTTCTCATATATATATATATATATATATATATATATATATATATATATATATATATATATATATATATATATATATATATATATATATATATATATATATATAGTGGTAAATTAAAAAGTGACTTCCAATAAGTATTTTTATAATCTACATTGAATAAAAAAGTTTCTATTTCTATTATAGAGAGAGATTAGTATAATGATCAGATACTATTTTTGTGTTTCAATAAATATGATAGATTATTTAATTAATGCAATGTGCATTAGAAATTTTTTCACATAAAATATTGCAAAACATGTAGTTGATATTAGATAAGTAATGATCTCTAGGCATCTTAATATACTAAATAATTTTTTACACAGAACCACCACTACCACCTGTGACCTATTATTTAGAGGTGTAAAAGTAACGAAAAAAAGCATACCCGTATGTATTCGTTACTTTAACAATTAGTACTCGTTACTATCGTATCGTTACGTTACTCGTTACTTCTGATACCTCACAACATGCTGTTATGTTCGATCGTATCGAATCGAGTCGTATTGCGTACGCGTACAGTATGACCTCGCGGCGTATTTTGAACCAGACTTGTGTTTAAGTTATTCTAAATTTAGTTTTATTTAATAGGTAAAGTGTAAAACTACAAGTGAACTATTGACGGAATCTACTAAATTTGCAATGGATTTACTATTTAAAAATTATGCATGAAAATCTATTCCATCCATTATTATGAATGAAAAAGCAACAAATAGGTGTCGAAAATTATTTATTGACAATAAAATTTAAATAACATTCAAACGATAAAACAACATAAAAATAGTTTTGCTTAGAATTAAATTAAGCATAAAAAATTAAATAAAACATGTTTTAAACAAAATTCAAACAACAAACAAAAATCTTTTGTTCTTAGAATAAAATTAAACATAATAATAAAATAAAAAATATTTTAAACAAAACTAAAACAACAATGAAAATATTTTCCTTAGAATGAAATTAAACCTAGAGTACTGCAATTGTTATGGGCAAGCATTATTAACATTTAACATCTGCGACATGCTTATCGCGACATTTCGGCAAAAAAAAATTAAATAAAAACATTTTATGGCAGGAACCTCTGATTCATATTTAAAAATAAAATCTTTTCCATTCGCTTTGGTTGAATAGAGCTGCGCCTCTCACTTAATATTTGGCCCGATTTGGAAAAAGTCCTTTCCGATGGTACTGAGGTAGCCATCACCGATAAATATTTCTCAGCCAAGTTTGAGAGTTCGGGGTATAGAATTGCCCGCGCCTGCCACCATTTTAAAGGACACTCATTTCGAGGAATAATGCGTTCTTCTAGATATTGCCTCATGGTAATTATGCTGCTGCTAACTATAGAGTTCGAAGCAGACGCTGACATTGCTAAAGAGTCAAAATCTTTCCATATTGAGTCGTTATCAGCGTCAGTGTCGCCAGTAGATATAGCTAACGTCGATTCGTTCTCGTTAGGTTCTATCGACTGCTTATGAAAGTTAAACTCATTTTGCAGTTCAGTTTTCAATGCATCTTTGGCAGACTCATAACTTGATGCATCAAACCTAAATGCCAGCTTCTTAAAACGCGGATCTAAGAGTGCTGCTTTAGATAACACTGGGTACCTGTAACAATTCTTGAATCTACTTTTAAATTCCGTTATTATTTTATTTGCCAATTTCTTTCCTGTATCTGTAATAATATTTGTATCTAAACTGTGAAAAATTCTAATTATACTTTCTGTCGAAGCCAGGACCATTGAAACAGTCACGTTTTTTTCTGAAGACATTTCTTCAGTGAGTTGCTTGAATGGCTTCAAAATTTTTATTATTTCTGGCAGTGTCTGCCATTCGCCTTCCGAAAGATTTTCTACCGGATTGTGTAGGATTCCAAGAGATGCTTCTAAAGGTTCTTGAAGTAAACAAATCCTCTCAATCATATCCAGGGTACTGTTCCATCTGGTCACTACGTCCATTTTTAGCTTCAATGGTTTCTGATTAGGCCTCAGCTGCTCCTGCATTGCAAATAGTTTTTTATTAGCTATTGAACTCTTGTGGAAATGTTCCACAATGGCTTTTATTTTTTTTATCAGCTCCCCGAGTCCGCAGTCCTGGAGTCCTGCACGCACGACTAAATTTACAGTGTGAGCGATACACGGTAAATGTTCATAAGTTGTTAATCGTATAGCCGCCTTCATGTTTGCTGCGTTATCTGTAACGCAGACAAATATTTTATTTTGTATGCTCCAATGCAAGAGCAAACTATACAGCTCATTTTTAATATATTCGGCCGTGTGTCGCTCATGACATTCAAAACATCCTAATAAAGCAGACTTCAACTCCCAATTTAATAAATAATGGGCTGTTACAGCTTGGTAAGAAGTTGTTGCTCTCGAAGTCCAGCCATCGGTGGTGATCGATACATATTTTGCGCTCTCCAATTCTTCTTTTAATTTTTTTTGGACGTCTGAGTATTGAGCATCCAATAAAGTATTGCTTAATATGTACCTTGAAGGCATTTTGTAACCTGGTTCTAAGTAATTTATAAGATCTTTAAAACCCGCGTCTTCAATTACAGAAAAAGGCTGAAGGTCTTTAACTATCATTTTAAAAAATTAAATCATTAATTTTTTTTTCTCTTACTACGCCTACTGGACGTTTAATAAAGGCACTTAACTTAGTCTGCTGCGAAATGGTTTCACTTTTTTTTAATTACAGGATTAGTAGATTCTGTACTTGCTGAAGTTGATGGTATAGGAGCTTCCAGAACTGCTTCATCTGACATGGAACATGGAATGATGGTTTCATAAGATGATCTGTGTTTCTTCATGAGATGCTTTTTCAAATTTGTAGTAGAGCCGCCTTTCACTGAATACAACGAATGACAAAGATCACATTTTGCCTTATCGTCTTTAGTCTGCGTAAAAAAAACCCCATAGTTTACTTCTTTTCTTATCCATTGTAGCAGGTAAATTAAACTGAAAAAAAAAAATTAAGTGTAAATAATTATAAATCGAATATACACAATTAACAATATTTGATAATTAACAGCTTTTGTAAACCAAGAAACAATTAAAACCCATTAGAGCGGCTTTATTTATAATATCTCTTTTAAGATAAGAACAAAACAAAACTTGAAAATACGAGATAATAAAAAACAAAAACATACATATTTCTAATTTGTAAAAAATACTTTCTTACCTTCTTTCTGTTCCAATCTAAAACTTCGTTTACACGCACAATATCTTCAATAAGCAGTAAAAAACTTGGACGACGTATTTCCAAATTATACTTAGCGGCACGGAATGTGGCCCAAACATAAACAAACCGACGCTAAGTGCCGCTAAGTTTACTTTACCTAATAAACAAACATCGCTCTTTGTAACGTACGTTTTTAAATTCACCGAATAAGTGTGCGCATGCGTAAAACATACGATCAGCAAATGTTACCATACACGCATCACGTATCATCGGTACTTGCGTGAACTGTAACAGTGTAGGTACCCATAGTACGAAAAATGCGAGTAACGAAAGACATTCATGTGTAACGTTTCGTTACTCGGTACTAGATGGCGCACCCGTTACTCAGTACCGAATACATACGGTTTGTTACAGCTTTACTATTATTTAGATAAGAATATATAACTCAAAATAGTAAGCTACCAGCTGTAGGAGGAGTGTATCTATGCATGTTTATTATTATATTGATAAACAAAAATAATTACCTGAAAATGTGTTTCCTCTGTAGTTCTTATATTCTTGGTTACTTTTAACAAGTTAGCTTCCAAGTAATAACTTTTTTGTCCCCTAGCAAAATAAATATCTTCATACTCACTATCTAATACAACAGGTATCTCTTTTTTTATTATAGATACTTTCCACTTTGGAATAAAGGTATCATTCATATTATCAGTTTGTAAATTAGGAAAATAGCATTTCAGTTTTATAAAAAGCTGGTCAAGCCATGGTGTCAGCACAGCATCATGACCTAAGTCATGTTGATAGTCACAAAGGCCTAAAACAAATGGAAAATTACATCAAGTTAGTAGTAGTTCATCAACAAAGTTATTGAACATTATTCCAAAATTTAAAGTCCTTACCAATATCTAGCAATGGGGTTGCTCCCAATTGTTTTAAACGTTTATGAAGTTTTTTACCAGCAAAATTAAATTTTTCATATGAAGAATCGCCTAGGCCTACGACGCCAAAGCGAAGGGTCATCAATGAGTTTGGGGGCAAGCTTTTTCTTAGCAAAAATTTCCAGAATTTCTTCATATTATCTGGTTCATCCCCCTGACCAGTGGTTGAACATACGAATATAACAAAATTTTCATGAATGAGGCGAGAAATAGGGTAATCATCCATTGCTTGAACTGGGCCACGAAAGCCTAACGCTTTAGTTTTTCTCCAAACTCTTTCAGCTACTTCTTGGGCCGTGAATGTTTGACTACCATATAAAACTAGAATACGATTTTGTTCTCTCATTGTAGTTAATTTTATGTGATAGTTGAGGTTAGTTTTCTTTGATCACAGATAAATAAGTCGATAAATCACAGAATGATGTTTATTTGTGAGATAGCATATTAATACTCTATATTAAATAAAACCTGAACTATTGATAAAAGGAAATTAACACTATTAAGTATACTAATTAAATTTGCGCAAAATTTACGATTCGTCCAGTCAATAAATTTCAGGTATTATATTAGATAAAATAGACGTTCACATCCTATTCTCGTGTAAAAATGTTATATATTACTGAAATTGTTATCAACATTAATTTGTACATAAGTACATATCCATTTATAATTTTTTTTTCGAAAATTGTTGAATGTTGATTGTTATCTGATGTTCAGCATAGATAAATAAATATGTTCAGTAAAAGCGATTTTTTTAAATTGGCCTTACGGTTACGGCTCTGGGTTCTAGCCCTTTTGAGCACCTATGTCAAATCGAAATCAAATCAAAGTCAAAGAGTAAAGAATTGTGGTCTTATGTAGTTCGCGAACTATGAACTAATAGGAAACATATCTTTGCACAGTACAGTGGCGTAGCGTGGCTTTTCGCCGCCCAGGGCCGCCCGGGGCACCTGGAACCACCCACCCTCCCTTTTAATTATTTTAACTTAAAGTTTAAATATTTTATTAAACGGAATTAATATACATCGTATAACTTATTGAAAGTCAATATAAAGGAAGGAAGGAACATACATCTATGAGAGGAAATGTCGCAAGAAACCCACTGGATCTTTTAGACTGTCAGATTGTTTACAAAACATGACTTTAATAACTTAACACTAGGCACATACAACAATAAATAATAGTAATGAATCTATAATTTTACTTTAAATTATACATAGTGTTCAACACTTGGCAACCTTTACAGGTATTGTAAAATAACATACTTAGTTATAGTTATACTTAAGAGCGCCACCCGTCACTTTATTTCTTTACTCCTAAATCAGATCAAATTTAAAAAATCTAAAAGTAGGACACAAAAAAAAAAAAAAAAAAAAAAACTTGATTAGTAAATTATCCTGTAGTATTATCGGAACCACATTTCGTTATTTTGCATGTTACAAATTAACAGATTTTTTTTAATTATTGCCAAAACTGGCTACTCATGGCTATTATTAACTTTCTCTTAATCAACAATAATTAATATCAACTTGGATGGAATAAAATATTTATGTTACAGGGTGCCTTGTATTATTAACTATTAGTTTTAAAATTAGACTGAAAATGTAATTTTCGTGTTTTTTTCAAAGTAAAATCTTTTACACCATCGTCAATATCAAAATGTATATCATGTTCCATTTCCAAAATAGCTAAATTTGGTAGTCTCAATGTTGACGCAGTTAATTTTTTATTAACTTTAGTTTAAAAAAGTTTCTCTCGCAACTTGCATTACTAACGGCAGATGTTAAAAAATCCTCAGCATTATCTTTTATTTTATTTTAATTTTTATTATTTTTTCTATGACATTGTTTGGTAAGTCATTTTTTCAAGTTCAGAATCAATTACGTGTTTGATAAACCCAGATAGCCGAACATAATAAGCCCTTTTTACAGTATTCGTCTGTTGCATCTGCAACCCACGTAAACCTGCGTGCTCCTGTTGGAACTCTTCTGTATTTATGTCCCAACGAGCTTGATCTATAAGTTAAATTCCGGCCTAATATTACTGCAGGCATTGAAAAGACATATTTTTGCGCTATATTTTGCAGTTGTTGGAATCGATCATGAATTTCAGCAGTTACTCTGTCTACTGAAAGACCGAGTGTGTACTTCTCATTATGACCATTGTACCTACTTTCTAGGAGATTTTTTTGCTATCTTGGCGGATACCTGTATAATAAAGTTAACAAGGATCTTAATATTCACGTCCTGCCTAAAGTAAAAGCTAAAAAATGTATCCATGAATGGTTACTGAAGACGGACTATAAATATACGGAAGATCTTTTTTCATCACATGTGTAAATGTTGTAATTTTTGCATTCACTCAGCACACGCACACACACACACACACACACACACGCGTATCATTATTGTTAAATTATGTATATACGCGCAAATGGATTATAACGTATCATTATTGTTAAAATATGTATTCCAAGATAACATACTTTTGTATTTGTTTAACCGGGAGGGAGATCTGATGACCTGAAATACAGGTTCGTCGCCTAGTTTAGGCATCAGTCTCTCACATTAATTTGTGCCTTTTTTTGTTAAAATTCGATATTGTTAATTTAATGTGGAGAGAAAAATAAATTATTATTATTATTATTACTGAAGTAAACATTATTTGACTCAATTCGTTCTCGTACGATAACCCAATATCTACATTTTCGTCGCCAAAACATGCCTCTTCCAGATTCATCTTGGGCGTTCAAAAAATATTTTAAGCATTAGCATATCGTAGAGAGTCGTTCACACATTCCTTACGTTTTTCTCCTAATACTATTATAAGAAGATGGAATTACAGCGGAGCTTCTAAAATAGGATGAAAATCCGGTAAATTAAATCCTTCAGAAGCTCATTAACTTCGTTCTCCATAGTCTCTCTCTCTCTCACTCCGGAGGCGTAGAGCAGAAGTGCGTTGGACTTGTTCTACAGAAAGGCGAAAATACTCTCTTGAGGAACTGCAGACCGATTATCCTTCAGAGCTGGGTCACGTGCTGTTTTTGAGTCATTACGAATCGTGTTGCACGCAGACTCGACGACTTCCAGCCTCCCGAACAAGCATGTTTCCGAAAAGGCTTCAGTACCATAAACCACATACATTCCCTACGGCAGATTGTACAGAAGACTGAAGAATACAATCTGCCACTTTGCCTGGCGTATGTGGATTATGAGAAAGCCTTTGATTCCATCGAAATTTGGGCGATGCTGCAATCCCTTCAGCGGTGCCAAGTTGACTGTCAGTATATCGAAGTGCTGAAGTGTTTATACAGTAGGACAACGATGGCTATCCGAGTACAGAACCAGAGTACGAAACCTATCCAACTGCAGAGAGAGGTGTAAGACAGGGTGACATTATATTCCCGAAACTCTTCACCGCTGGATTGAAAGACGTTTTCAAGCAAATGGATTGAAAAGGATACGTTATTTACGTCAATGGCGAGCACATCACTCGTATTCGATTTGTCGACGATATAGTCCTTATGGCAGAATTTCTGTAGGACCTAAGCACTATGCTCAATGATCTTAATAGTGTCTCCGAACGGATTGGTCTTCAGATGAATATGGACAAAAAAGGTTAGGTGTAACATCCACTTCACATCAATACTAATTGTTGTTGGTAGCACTAAGCTCGAAGTTGTTGACGAGTATGTAAAAGAGATAAAAAGTTTTAGTTTAAATTGATTTTTGACATTGAAAAGATTAAATAACGTCCGAACTTAGCTGTGCTTTAAAGGTAAATGCCAGATCCAGTTTTCTGTTGCAACGACGGGAGTAAATTCGCGCTACCAAATCCGATGTCCAGGCGGGACGCATAACGAAGTTTGTGAACCTATATATAACCATATATATATATATATTGACAAGTACAAAGTAAAAAAAAAAAACAAATGGGTAAAGGGTGAACGTTTGTTCTGCCATTTTGTATTTTACGGCCGTCCTTTTGGTTTAATAAAAACAAAACCTAGCCTACAACTATTGCATGGTTAAGACTAAGCGATAGACACCTCATTGATTAAAATCCATCCAGCCGTAGGGATACTTACAGGGTATAAAGAAAATCCCACATACGGATCTACTTATGCGTTAAAAGTATAATGGTCCCCACACACGGTCAGTTAAAATGATCAGTTGAACTGAGTTCAAGTTAAAATTTTTAACTGATGGCACTCCAAGGAGTTTTCCGGGCGCACCGTAATCCGCTGGCTTCAGTTCGTTTTAATTACTGGTAAGTACATACCTACTTTCTAGTAGCTACTTACATTATTTCTATGCTGTTTAGATTTTTTATTATTTTATATACTTATTTAGAGAATTTCGTTTGACTGAGGATGGAGAATAAGGTGACTGTGATGATGTCACCTTCCTTATGACTGACTCAGAAGGGCGTAAAGGATCTCAGTGAAGCTACGTAGAACCATCGTGTTAAAATTCATTTTCAAAAAGGTTCATGATGATCTAGATGATTGTGATGATATCACCTATGGTTCATAAAAGATAGCTTGATCTCTGCGACAGCTGTCAGTAAAAATCACGCCTATGAAGTCGTGAATTTCTTAGTAGTACAGACAGTACCTGTCAATGTCATACTTTATGGGCATGCACTAATTAGGTTGGCATGCCCATAAAGTATTAGTAGTATTAGTATAAATTCAGGACTTCATAGGCATGATTTTTACTGACAGCTGTCGCAGAGATCAAGCTATCTTTTATGAACTATAGTTGATGGTGGATTCCGAATTTCCGAAAGGGGCTTAGGATCTCAGTGACGTCACTCCATAGAACCATTGTGTTTGGACTCATTTGAAAGGTACTCATATAGACCCAGATGACTGTGATGATTTCACCTTCCTTATGGTGGAATTCGAAGGTAAATTTAGGATCTCAGTGACGGCACTGCATAGAAACACTATGTTTGGACTCATTTGAAAGGGTTCATAAAGACCTAGTTAACTGTGATAATCTAACATTCCTGATGGCCTACTCAATATCTGGTAGAAGATCTCAATTGTGTCACTACGTAGAACCATCGTTTTTAGACTCATTTTAATACCAAGGTGCCTGTGATGAACTCACCTACCTGATGATGGTGGACTCCGAAGTTGAGTATAGGATTTCAGTGACGGCACTAGATAGGATGAGCGTGTTTCAACTCATTTGAAAGGGCTCATAAACACCTAGGTGACAAACGCCGCCCCCAAACGGGGGAGAAAACAAGGAAAATAAAGAAAACTAAACTAAAAATAGTGTACCTATATGTGTAATGTAACTTAATACAATACGAAAAATATATTATTTCATAAAA